GCGTATAAACCCTGTCCAATTATGCAAAGCAGTCTGACTTATTTATTTATTTAGATATTTACCAACACAATTTTTAAATGAAGTGAAAGTCATTAGTAACAGATGTATCGCAGTTGAGGCTTTTTATAGAAGCATATGAAGTGAGTTGCCTTCCCCGAGGAAAAGTTGGGACAACTAATTTATATATCCGTTAGTCATGTCAAACTATTGCACGACGAAACTGACTTATTTGTTCGATATATTCAATAAACTCAACGCAACCAGTAGGCTCTATTACCTAACCTACCCTAACCAGCAGGTCATTACAGTGAAGAACTGCAACTACGTCTACAGTGACAGACAAAATATCTTATCTAACAATAAAAAGCAAATTTGGATTCTGGATTTAATGTGTTGAACAAAAAGGTTCTAAATAGATTTCTCGAAGAAAATGAGTTACAATTAACCTCAGATATGGGTAAAATCATAAATGAACATCTGTTGAACCTCAAAAACTCCATGAAAGAATATTTTCTAGAGGAGTTACAGAACAACCACTGATTGTGAGTGCAAAATCCATTCGCAAATCATACTAAACCATCAATGTTAACTATGTCGGACTTTGAACATTTGTTGATCGATATTAAGAATTAATCTTCTTTAAAACTAAAATTCGAATTAGCCGATTCAAATATGAATGACTTTTGGATTAAATTTAAAGATAAATACCTTGCAGTTATCACGATTTCTGTTTCGTCTTTTGTTGACTAAGAGATTACAGACGAGCATTTCAATTTAGGTTTACACTAAAAACACATTCAGAACTAGACTGAATACAACTTCGGATATTCCAATTCGATTGTCGGACATTAAATCAAATTTTAACGGTATTATAAGTAAAAATGCGCACTTTAAATGCCTACGTGCAATATAAAGATTTTGAATTCAATACTCATGTTGAAGATGGGATTCCATCAAAAAAGGATGGGTTAGAAAGGGGATAATACAAAATAAGATAAGTAAGTATGGCAAATATTAAATCACAGTTGGAAACAGTGGTTGGATGTTCGTTGCGATTTTGCGGTTATATAATCGTTGTCAACAGCACGGTGGGCATATGTTTTCCCCGTCTCGGACATGCGTACCTACCGTTAAGAGGGCGACTTCCTGGTAGGACCCTTCGTGGCCCGCCGTGGCTCGAGCTTTTCAGGATCTCGGCGTGCGCCCGTGCTTTATGGGACCTCCCGTACGGACCCCCAAACACGCTCTTTTTACAATTTTCCGCGGGCACGTTTTGTTTAAAGTCCAAGTTTGGAGCCCCCGCGTGGACGATAAACGGACCCCCTCCGTTTCAGCGACATTGTTGTCGTTGCACTCGCCCAATAAAATACACATATTTGTATGGCATTGTGCGTGTGTGTATTTTGCGATGTCCTCGAATTACTTGCCGTGAAATCGGTCGCGCACAAGTCAAATAAAAAGAGAAGAGACATTTGCCAGTGGACAGATGGAGACGTCAAGGGTAGCAATTATGTCGACCGATGATTTATGTCGACGAATTAGACGAGTATTGTGGTTATTGTAAAAGTGCCGTTTGCGCACGTGAAAGTTCTTCAGATCTGTGGGAGATTTTTTTTAATACTTATTGTCCTAGATACTTAAAAAGATCCAGGTGAACAGTCCGTTAGGAAAATTCACCTGGAATAAATATTTATCTAATCAATAATAAATACAAACATAAATTACTATATGGGTCAAGCTTTTGTGGCCAGAAAGCCCGAAAAACCTCGACTACATAAATAACTATAGTTAATAACTAAGCCAAACAAAAGACTTTGGAAAAGTACGAAATTAAACGAGATTGAGACGCAATTTAGCGATTATCCCCTATCATCATCATAAGGTCGTCATTTTTAAGACTGGTTGGACACGCACCTCCACTCTATGCTGAGCTAATCTTCATATTTTCCACAAACCAGAACAACCCACATCTTTAACTATTTGCGAACAGTAATCTAATCTACGTCTACTTCTACCCCTCCTAACTCCCGTTATTGCCTCTAATATGTCTCTGATTAGACCTTCATACTTCAGAAAGTGTCCTACTAACCTATCTCGCCTTTTTCTTATTGACTTCCATAGAGTCCTCTGTTCTCCTATTCTTTCTAATATCTCTTCATTTCTAACCTTCTCTATCCACGGTATCCCCATCATTCGCATGTAACACCACATTTCGAACGCTTCTATCCTTTTCTTTTCCGCAGCGCGCACTGTCCATGTTTCGCACTCGTACAGCGTCGCGTTTCAAACATACACCTTTAACAATTTTTTTCGAACCGAACCGTTCGCGAGTGACTTCTTTTTATTGAAGGCGCTTCGATCCTGCGTTATCTTCTGCTTTATATCCTTACTACTCCTTCCGTCCTGACTTATCTGACTTACTAGATACCTAAAATTGGTCACTTTTTCTACTTTTTGGACTCCTATCTTTATATTCGCTCTTTCCGTACTTTTTCTTACCTTGCATACCAGTATTTTTGTTTTATTATCATACAGTACTGTTTTGTCAATACCGCTTCCATTTTATTTATTTGCTAATACTGCTATATCATCTAAGCATAATAATCTTTTGCCCCTGTATATCAATACCTGCAGTCGTCTTTAATGAAGTTAATCGCTTCTTCGATGTATAGATTATCAAGTAGCGATAACAGTGTACATCCCTGTCTGACTCCCTTCCTAATATTTACTTCTCTACGTTGTAACCCCAGCTTTATAACTGCCTGTTGCTCTTTATACAAACTAAGTATCACTCTTCTATCTCTATAACTCATCCTTACATTTTTAAGTATATTCTCCCCCATATTGCAGTAAAAATAACCACGGTCCCAAATTATATGTCGGATGATTTACATTTGGACTGAAATGTAATCGTTTAAATTACCTGGTATTCCTGAATATCTTTCTCCAGGGAAGAGGTGTTACAAACGAATAAGTAGATTTCGTGGTATTCCCCCTCATTAAATTCTTAATATAAACTACCTGATCAACAATAAATACTCCTAACACCCCTAAGCATTTACAGCCTTGAAAATAAATACCGAAACAGCTGTCGACGACCTGCAACTTATGAAACATTACCAAGTGTTTTTATTTTTAAATTTAATAATTTGAAAATAGATTGTGTAAATTTTTGATAATTACGTTCGAAAGGGTTTAAAATATTATTAATATTACTTATTATGATTACTATTCATATTAGTTTATTTTAGGTACTTATTTTATTTTTTATATTTAATATGCGTAGTCATTAGGTATTAAAATTAAATAAATGATCTTATAGATTAATATATTAATGTAAGTATGTAAAACATTTATTATAAAACCGACCTATTTATAATTTAACGTATCCGTTTTCGTCTTCTAAGTTTATTTAGTACAATTTTTATCATTTATCCACCTTTTAACATTTAAATCACTGATGTTACGTCAGTTGTTTACTCATCTGACACGACCAGGACTCTAGTGCAAAAACTGTAAGAATGTATTATAAAAAGATATCAGAGGCGATGGTCGACGTGTTTGTTACAGAAAACAACGAACATGCACAGTTTCTATACAATAAAATCAGTTGTCAGTTAGTGTTATAGTTTAGCATAGTAAGTATGTATCTATTTAGTGTCGCAAGTGTAGACTACGCTAATAACTGTTTTAACTAATTGAAAGCAGAATTACCTATTATGAAATGATTACAAGGTAAGAAGTGTACATATTAACTTGAACGCAAAATAATGTTATTACAATACTGAAAACACCTTTTTTTTATGCTTTTGTGCTCTTTTTATAATTATCAACTTAATTTGCAGTGTTTTACATGATTACTTATTCTCATATTTTATAACCACATAGGTAAAAATCTACTACAATCCAAAAATAATTTTCTTTATTTAGTTAGCGTTTATGAATCATAACCACTTCTATAAAATTTATTCTGACTGATTCTGAAGTCACTTCTATGCTCGCGAAAGTTGAATTTAGAAATTCGAAAAAGGTTGTTAAAGGTGTATGTTTGGAGTGCGGCGCTGTACGGGTGCGAAATATGGATAGTGGGTGGGTGGAAAAGAAAATGTTAGAAGCGTTCGAAATGTGGTGTTACAGGCGAGTGATGAGGATACCGTGGATAGAGAAGATTAGAAATGAAGAGTTATTAGAAAGAACAGAGGACTCTATGGAAGTCAATAAGAAATAGGCGAGATAGGTTAGTAGGACACCTTCTCAGGCATGAAGGTCTAGTCAGACATATATTAGAGGCAGAGTTAGGACTTACGAGGGATAGAAGTAGACCTAGATTAGATTACTGTTCGCAAATAGTTAAGAATGTGCGTTGTTCAAGTTTTAGTGAAATGCGAACATTAGCTCAGGATAGGAAAAAGTTGAGGTGCGTGTCCAACCAGTCTTAGGACTGACGACCTTATGATGATGATGATGATTCTGACGATTTTATGGTAGTATATAGTCACTAATATTTACCATCAAATCGTAGTAAACAGGTAAAAAATCTTACAAGGAACAAAGAAAAGACTATAGACTTCGCTTGCCTTGATATAAATGCGTGTCAAAGACGATCGACGCCCACACAAAACCAATTTTTTCTATCCCTCGAGAACAGTATTTTTTTCTACATGAAATGTACTGTATGTCCTTTTCTGTACCCTTACAATGTCTGTACAAAATTTCATGAAGTCAGGATAACATAAGCTTTTGCCTTTATTACAATTCACATCAATTTCCAGTTGTAGAATATTTCGAGTATATATAAAAATAAGTTATGCAATTAGTTTAGCTTTATTTTAATCAATATACAATAATTCACATTATTAATATCAAATATCTTATGTTGGTGTACATATTAATGTGTAACAAACGTGTTTACTATTTTGCTCACGTGTACCTATAATTTAATTTAAAACATTTGATAGCACATGTAAAAGTGTTATAAAACGTGAGAATGTGCGACAATCTGTTCAACATATCCGTTCCTTTATTATGTTTTTCGACAGCTTAAGCAAAAATATTTAGATTTTAAATTTAAAGTCAAAGCTTCATGAACTTAATCGAAAAAATTAAAAACGTTGCTGTTCTCCCGACAATAATGAATTTAACTTTATCTTGTTTCTGTGCGTCTGGACTTGGTGTAGTTCTTTTCTTACCCTCCATAAATTGACGAATAATTTTATCAAGTAATATATAATTTCCACTATGCTTAACCAGCTAAGGCCAAGAAATAATCCAAGTAGTCCACCAGTACTTGCTAAAAAAGAAAAATTATATACCTAGCTATTAAGGGTATGCTTGATTTAATAAATGTTCAACGAATAACGGTAGGGTCAACCCAACGTAGTAATTTGCTTCTAATTATAAGTTCATTTATATTTGACAGGGTCCTTTTCAATTAAGGACATCGACTTTTTAAATTTTTTGTGTTATCTTATCGAACTACGGTCGTGTCTTAATTATTGTAATAGTTTCCTTTTCTTTTTTTACAGAATGTATGGTAAGTATATCTTCATTCATTAAGAAATAAGTAAGACATGGAGGATAATATTGATTATTTGTTTGGTGAGTATATTATAGTTTATTTATGTTTTCTCGAGTTTGTCTAAAAGAGACATTTGCGTGGTCACCCTCCCAGGGTGTCCACTAGGATGTCCATTGGACACTGGAAATTAAAATTAGGAGATGAATCTGCCAATTTTTGTTATTTAGGGCATCAGATAACTATCGAAAAGACGGTAAAGATATAAAAGAAGGAATACTGTAAGGTCGGACCGCTTTTAACAAATAGAAATCGCATACAATGAGTATCCATAAAAATACAATACAATTTTTGCTATAAATATGGTAAGGTATATCGTGGGCGCTGCGGAAAAGAGAAAGTACAGGAGAATATTAAAAATACGAGAGAACAGAGGAAGTTAATTAGAAATAAGTGAGAGGCTGGTAGGACACCTTCTCAGACATAAAATGCTAGTGACAGAAGCATAAACAGGTGTTACGGAGGGTAGAAATAGACATAGGTTAGATACGGTCGATAATAGTTAGGGATGAAGTTGCTTTAGTTTTCGAGGAATAGGAATACTGGCTAAAGATAGAAGTAGAGGAGTGAGTGGGTTCAAACAGTCTTCGGGCATATAATGATGACAGATGTTCATATTTTATATTTGAAATGTGAAAAGGTTCAACTTTGTTGATAAACACATAAAAAAATATTTCAACTATAAAAACTCAATTCAATATTAACAGAGAAAACAGTAGATGCTTTTCTTTAAGAAATTCGCTAATAAAATGTACAAAATTTAAAATCTGGAGCTTTGGTAAATGTAATTAATTTGTGCTTCGAGACAAAGACACACTGTTAAAATTTAAGGTATATTATGCAAAAGTGTTATTATATTTTTAGTAAACTGTTATCAGGATTTATAAATAGATACTTACATAAGAAATCGGAAAAACTGTATATTAGCCTCTTTGTATACCTATCGAAATGATTCTCTCCAAAAAATATAGAAACGGTGGCAAAATTTTTCCTGAAAATTGAACACAGATTGACATTTGTTTTTGGAGTGAATTGGACATTTAGTACAATATAACATGTAATATATTTTGATAATAGAATATCCCTGTTTGAAGGGATATATCTAGACATCTTGGACGTAATAAATACTATTAAATAAAGATTTGCTCTTACATTTATTTACCTCGAATATTCTGCTATTTCATTTTTCGTTACATTTCCTGGAAATAAACCGTCATAATAAAAAGAGTGTTCAAGAGTGCCGTATGAAAAATTAATGTTGTATTCTATTTCGTAACAATTAGGCAGGCATCGACATCTGGACCTTAAAATCAACAAATCAGTTAGCAGTATCAATGGTAACTGGGCAATGTTTGAAAGCATATGTTCAAAATTAGTACATATACTTTATGAAATTAGCACATTGCAGTTAAAATTCTTACAAGCCCGCGCACAGCTAACAAATATTCGACACTATGAAGTAAACAGCAATCAGGTCTACGAGGGCGGTTCAATAAGTACCCGTGTTACACATGAAGACACCTTTTTTTTTTAAATTTGTTTTTCTATTTTTCAACATAGTCCCCTTTTAGACAGATACACTTCTCCCAACGGCCCTGCCATTATTTTTACCCCTCCAAAAAATAAGATTTACCGAAAAAATATATTCGTTTTAATTTTTGCGATTAACATTAAGCAAACTACTCTTGCACCTGATTGACAATACGTTTAATTAAAGTTTTACTTACTGTAACGTGTCTGTTTCTATTTCATTCATTAATTCTGAAATCAAAAGACAAATTAAATAAAATTGAATGAATCAATTTTCATAATGACCACAGACCTGCCGCTTCACGTGCACATTCTAACTGCACTAACATGCATAAGTCTTTGTCTTTTTCCCCTAAAAAATAGTTGATTTATTTGTGGGCATGTACCAGTCAATATATATTCCTTATTAAATTCTTACTCGGTAAATGGAAAGGAATACAACCGCAGTGGTTGCTTGTATAATTACTTTCACATTCCAATCTGCAGTTGTTTAGGGAATAATATCTGTAATCATATTATTACATAATATATACCATAAATATATAAAAGGTAAACAACTTATTACAACAATTTCGCGTTTACTAGAAAGGACTAGTTGGATAAGCGAAAAAACATTTCAATATGGGGGTGCGAATAAAATGCTCATTCTAAAAATTTTTATGTTTCATACTTTTAAATAGAATTGGGTGAGAAGGTTTCATTCATTTTTGCTCTATAATCTGTATAAAACAATTATCAAAAACATATTAAAACATTAAAAAGACAGCAGAAATTAAAAAATATCCCATTAATATACTAAAATCTATATTTTAGGAAAACCGTTATTTTGAGTTTTCTTTCACATTAGGGGTTACTTTTCTTCACCTATCGACCCCAAAGTTACAAGCAAAGTTAATGTAATACAGTTGTGAATTAGATACGTTTTAATTTTTAAAAAGTAGTCACGGAGAAAATGAGATCGGAAAATTTACTTAAATATTAAAGCGATATTTGCAATTTATCCCGCTATCTCGTTACTTCAAATAAAAATTACAATTTGGACCCGAATTTGTATAAATAAAATCCCAGCAGAAATAAATTTACTAAGTATTTTAGTTGATACCTACTACAAATTTAATTGCAATAATTAAGAAACTTGAAATAATTTTTGATAAAAACATGTCAAAATTGAGATTAATACAAATTACCTAGTAAATTTTACTATTTCTACGGCAAATTCAGTCATTTACAATCGAAAATTATAATTTTTGCTTTCTATTTAATAAAATGTATCTACCTGAAATATTTTAAGTGACGCTCTTCTCGAAAGAAACAGCCCCTCTTTTCAACCTTAATATTTTTCAAACTAAAATCAGCATCGTAAATTGTTGGAATTATTGTAATTTGAGTTTCTGATCCTGAAGGTATCAAGTATGCAAAATTTTTTATTTTGCTGTTATCGGAAGGAACATACAGTAAAAGCTAAAATTGAACAAAATTCTTAATAATATATCGTTAATTATCGTATTTATGATAGCATCAAAAGTTTGCTAGTCTTGTATATTTATGACCGCTGTACTCTCTGCCAAAGTGAAATCAGATCTTTTTAGAAAAAATTAAAAAACATGGGTTCTTATTCAAAAGGAATTAGGAATAATATTTTTTACTAAACTAATGGTTAGAGACATACAGTAGAACCTCTTTAAGTCGAACCTCAATAAGTCGACAATCTCCAAAACTCGAAAACATGTTTGTTCCCTTCCCTTCAAGCCCCAAAACCTCTATTACTCGAAATATCAACCCTCTATTAGTGGAAATAATCAGTGAGTCCCTGCCAGTCATTTTGGTACGTATTTTCCCTCTATAACTCGAAAAATTAAATTGGACCTCTGCATGACGAACATAGCAATGTTTTATTTTACAATTTAATATCAAAAATTACTGACTTTTTTAATACAAACCTACTATGTACCTACAAAATTTTTTTATGTGTTTTGAAGTAAGGTTGATTTATAATAAATAAAAATATGATTGTTACCTCTGTCAAATCAAAATCGAAAACTCTATAACTCGAATTTTTTGGCGTCTCCCTTGATGTTCTAATTAGAGGTTCTACTGTATTAGAAATAGAAATAGGAGCTAAGGGAAGTAGAGGTAGACATACATAGATTAGATTATTATTATTAACCAGTCTTAGGACTAACAACCTTCTGATGATGATGATGAAGAACATCAACTTTTGATAATAAATTAGTGAGCTACATACTTTGAAGCCTGCACTGTTAGTCGATGAACAGTAATAATCGTCTAGATTTGCATCCAAAATTACATACAGACCGTGGTTGGAGCCTGCCCCTGTAATTTATATCCGAATTTTATCAATAAAATTCTGCTAATAACGACTAACAATATGTTAAAAGATAATTAACAATAATACCAGAAGCCCGATAAGGGTACTTGGGGGTCGAAAAATCTTTGTATCCCGTTTCCGGATCCCATTCCCCGACATCTTTAGGGTAATCAAAAAAAGATTGTGTATCATTCATGTATCTAAAATTTTTTCATTTTAATTATAAAAAAAATAATGACTTTAATCCTCTTTTTCCAATTTTATATTTTCTATCAAAAATAATAATTGTAGGTACTATTAGAGAATATTTCTCGCTTTCATAATTAACAATCCAAAATTGAATTTGCTCAGCTATTTAAAAAGTATGCATCTCAAAAAATTTTATTTAAATTCTTAAATGCGCTCTTATTTACCCCTCCCGGTAAACAAATTGATTAGGGAGTCCATTGAATGTGTAGCATATCCCCTCATCTGTAACTTCTGTGTTAAAATTGAGAGCACAATCGATGTTGTTTGAATTCCAAATGCATTTTTTAATCATTTCATCAACAGTTTGCGATGTCTGTAAGTAAGGATTAGTGATTAAAAATATTATGCAACAAAATCTTGTATGTACGGTTTAGTACAAATCCGCAAATTTTTGTCAAGAAGAATAATAAACGATTTTTTATTAAATGTTTTTTAAAAAATAGATTTAATGAATATGTTGCCAAAGGTTTCGTCTGATGAAGAGTTAGCACCAGACAGACTAAAAGTTATTATTAAATAAGTTTTGGTGAAGCAATTAGATTTAGGTAGGCATCTTTTGTAACGAAGCAAATAAAATTTACTGAAAATTTTTAAATTGTGTACTATAGGGTTTCATCAAATCAACTATGAGTAAAATTTTTACGGACTATAAACCGAATTGCTATTATATACAATTTTAGGAAAAAAGATATAGAGGGTGGTTTGTTTGTGTACAACAAATTTCAAATTTCTTACCTGATTAAGTAAAGTTACCAATCTATCCCATGTGGTAGTTTCTACAGCCAGGGTCTGATTAATTTTATTTATATCGAGTGTTGTATCGCATAAATATTTCAGCAGAGTCTTTTCTACCGTGCTGATATAAAAAAGAAAAGAATCATTAGGAATAAGGCAGTAATGAAACTTGTAGTTGAATATGCAACTTCAACCCAGAAACTAACAGTTACAGAGATGTAAATAATCCATATTACTTTATTCCATCACGTAAAATTGATTTTGAGCAAGGAACCGCTATAGGTATTTCGTATTTCAGTAAAGGTAAAAGAAGTAGGAACGTCTTATTTTTTTATTAAACGGTTATTTAAAACAATTTTTATATTAATAAATTCTTATTCCATATTCAGATTGTGAATAATGGTAATTTGACTTACTTTTTATTATTTATTTTTTCGACCACACTCCTTTTCGCTTGATTCATATTACAGATTTTTATAGCGGGAAAGGGGATATCGTTTGTAGATACTGGTATGGGATTTATACTCGTTATTATAGGGTTTAAATCGTATCTGTAATAAATCTGATATACAAAATATGAAGCGAAAATAACTGCTGATGCAAAGGCAATAGTCCAAAATGCTCTGAAAAATAATAACACTTTTTTGAGAAATGCGTTGACTTTTTGTCAAACAGGACAAGAAGTTAGGTTTAGAGTTTAGTCCGTATAGTTCATAAACAAGAAGTTAATAGCATCTGGGAATGCATTAAGTTTTAAGAAATAAATTTTATAGTATCCGACAAACAATTTTAGCAATTATTTTGTCAATTATGTTCCATATTTTTAATTTATTCTATACTTTAATTATTTTCATTTTTTTCTATGTGATTCTTTTCAAAAATGTCTTATGTTATGTTATCCTTATCCTATATCTTCCTTTTCCGCGATGAAAGAGAAATTGAAATGTTTTAGCAGTATTTTTTTACTAAAAGAGCTTTTTTGCTATCATAATTACCTCTCAGCAATAATTAACTTATGATCACCAATGTATTTGAGTCCGTGAAGTGACGTTTTCTTGCAATACGATTGCCATACATGTGTAACTGTTGTACTGTATTTGTTTAACGGTAAGTTACGTATGGGTTTGCTGTGTAAGAACATTTAAAAAGGATAAATAGAACACGTCTAATACCAAATTTTAGCATTTTCGATAGATTCCTTACCTTTTACTGTTTCTTCTTCTTGTAGGCATCATGTTACAAATACAAACTTTGTGTACCAATTCACTTCAAAACTCAACTATCTGTGTAATTGTAATCTACTTATTGTCCTTTATATATGGATCTAAAACCCATTGCTCTAGATTAATACTCCCATGGGATTTTGTTACATTTAGTTAAATAACGGGACGATCTAGTTTTGATTAATGATTTGATTGTGAATTTTGCACTTTCCCTATAATTGACTGTAATTCTGGTTACATTAACTAATTGCAAAATTTTTTTTTCGGTATAGGTAATATTTTATGTTTTTCATTAATTATTCGTTCGACGTAATTTACTTTTAATTCTATATCAGCCTTTAATAAGCCAATGATATTGAATTGAAATAAATTACAATAGGCATCAATAGTGTAAGCGTCGCCTAATACAAATTAAAATCTTCATAAAGTAAACAGCATATTAACTATGGTTATCCAATCGTATGTCGTAAGCAACGTAAACCTTATGCTTATAGAAACGATATCCATGTCTCAAAAATTCTGTTGCGCTATTGCTATAAATCTCCCATCTATTTGGTACTTCCCCAGTTGTGTTAACTGGAGAATTGTCTTATTATATGTGTACAGTTTGATTAGACTTTCAGAGGTTTAAATGTAACAAGCTAATTAGTAATAACCTACTCGACAGAAGAGAGTAACTTCGACATTACTGACCTGATGGTTTCAAAGAGAAAATGTCATTATGCAGAAAAAAAAATTCTCAGAAACAAAAATTTCTGATTTCTTTGATAAAAATGATATTTTATTAGTGTTTTTCAAAGTTGATGTCTTTTGATGAATATATTTTAGTGCTTTTTATTTGAATAGGTATATGGGTATTTTACTAAATATTAGTAGGTGCGTGCAGATCGTATTACGATAATTGGTATTTGGGGGGACATTATTATTAGGAGGATTAACGATATAACATGACGATTATTAATATTACAAAGATTATTGTACATTTAGACAGTGATATTGTGCATTAATCCATTACTCAATTTTTAATAAAATTAAGACCAATCTTAATTTAGTTACAAAAACTGTTATCTACTTGCTTGCGTCATCTTACGCTATTGAATAATTGTTATTATTCTAAATATTTTTAATTTTTTTTATTTATAAAATTGAAACAATAAGAATTAGGTTTTTGGTGGCGATAGGGGATAATAAAAAAGCTGCTTTATTTGAGGATTTTATTAAAAGCTTTCATATTTTACTACACATATCTTACATGCTTTTATGTAGCCCTTAATATTTATAATCAAAGCACCAAACGTACAGATGCATACATATACACACAAAATACTGAACATTTTTCCTAAAACCTATCCTTTTATTGGTCACTTATCATTATCATTAGTGCATTTTGATTCTACTTTCGTCTATCTATTTTTTCGTTGTAGAATATTATTAATTCAATATTTTGCTCGCTGTATATTAAACTTATTCGGCTTTAACTTATTTCTCTTTGGTTCCGCAATATTTGGTCTAAAAATTTGTAATACATAAATGGCACTTTTAAAAAATCCATAGTATAACAGTTCAGCGGCAGTAAAAAAACTGAATCCCATAAAAAGAGCCAAAATTCCACCAACATTAGCTGGAAAATGCAAATTAATTAAGACATTTAACATTTAACTCATATAAAACAAAAGACTACATATTTTCAAAATTCGTTATTTTTAAGTGGCTGTGTAAAAACCATACGGCTCTATATTAGTCATCCCCCCTCTAAAACAGGAAATACGTTATCTTCAATTCGATTATTGCATGTAGGTAATAGATATTGATCTATTACTACATCCTTTTCTTCAGTCCATGTAAACTGTTCAAGGGAAAACCACGTTGTTCAGATATCAACTTCCCCATATTGTTCAGAATAGCCTTTTACCAAAGTCCTTCGTCCCCTTAAAGTCATATGGTTTATGCACAGCCCCTAAATGGTTGAGACCAAAAAATAGTATGCGAAGATTCAGTTTATGGTATATTAAAGCGGTTTTTTTTTATAAAAATATTCGCTTACTTACACAAATATTGAGAAATGTTGTACATTGCCTGTTTCCTCAACTTTACAAAAGTGGTGGACTTAAAGAAAACGTTCAATACTGCTATGTTTTCCCTAAAAATGTGTAACCACGAGATAGTTACAGAAATTCATATACCTAAGCACATGAAAAATTTATAACTTGATCTTAAATTTTTACCTGATATATTCATCTGTATAATTTTTTAAGATATTTTCTTTTTGCGGCATTTGTATTAATGTTCCATAGGATTCAATTTTATCATATTCTAAAGTTTCACATTCACTGAGACAAGAACAGTTATATCTGTAAATAAAACAGATTATGCACCTTGTGGTACAATAGAAAAATTTGATATTTTCTTACCGTTTATTTGCTTCCATTTTATGAGCATATACGCGATCTAAAACAATCAAAAATTACATCCATTCTTTTAACCTGAACTACTTCTATTATTACTTCTCTTCAACTGGTTAAACTAAATTATTTTTTTCGAAATTAACCGCTACGTTATGAATTTTAAATTGGAAAAGCGATTTATGAAATACAATAGCACCGATAGGTAATTATTTAACTTGTACTAAATTAGATAAGTATTGGTTTTCTCGCTTTTGAAATTAACATTTCCCAATTTGATAGAAAAATTAATCAAACACTTATGAAGATCCCGAAACTTACAATAAGTTAAACGTACATTTCAGTTAGATATATAAATAAAACATCCAACTCACCAATTGTTAAAAGGGTACAGCACCACTTCCGTAAACCGCATATTTTCCATTTTTTGTATTCTATAGTTGTAACGAAAATACACTCTTTTAAAGTAAACGATATTCTGTTAAGCGATAATTGTACTTACGTGGATAATAAACTGGTATGCAGTGACAGATTGAGTTAGTGTAATTAGCTGCGCATTCATTTATACAATTTATTCTTGAATATCGCCTGAAAAGAAACTTTGATTCCTGATTCATTTATTACAAGAGGTGAAAGTAAGGTTGGATCTAATAAAGAAATTGGAGAAGAAAAAATAGAACAATCCCTGATTTTCGATACCTATTCAGGAATAGATCAGACTGAGCCGTGTCCGTACTGTAGCGAGTTCATGGCACCCGGGCGGCACTAGAATGCAGGAAATGCAAGATCTCTAACATTTTATTGATGCCTACATTTTCCCGAATATAAGGAAGAATTTAGCGGGCGATGAAAATTCGTATAAAAAATTGATTTTTACAATGAGATTTATGATATATTGTCAGTGTACATTACTAATAATAATATGTCAGTCAAATAAGTGTTATCCTATCTTATCGTTAACGATTTTTTAATTTATTTGTAGCTTTAAATTTAAATTTATTCAAAACATACTTAAAATCTGCTATGAATCAATCGAGGCTTTTGAATTTTGCAATAACAAATACCGAAGAAGATATTTTTTTAAAATTAGTGGTAAGCGATTTAATTAGAGAAATTGCAGTTAAAAAGTCGATTTTAACATTTAAAACTGTTTAAGTTTATGTATTTTATTTTGTTATGTATTTGATAATTTAAATTTAACATAAAAAATGGAGCAGATAGTTCACATCTCAGAATCTGCATTTACACTATTACACTATCCATTTAGTTCTAAAGAAATTTTGTGAAAATTCTATTAGATGGGTGATATTGTACAGAATTCAGAACGCTCTCTGTTACAAACTGATTCCTAGCTAGAAAAGAAAAGAAATGAGATAATTTTGGGAAATGTAAAATTTGAAGGGGTTATTGATGTCTGCATGAAAAACGAGAGGTTAGATGATAGGAAATTTTGGTACTAGATGCGGAAACAGGAGTAATAAGGAGCAGAGGTAGACCCAGATTAAATTGTTAAATGTGAAAGTTTATGCATGATACCTGCCTGTAAAGACCCAATTTTCGTTCGTCGTTAAAATAGCAACCTCTCTGTATTGGATGAACACTTTTCCTTAAAGACCGATCGGCTTCCAATACCCTGGGAATTATTTGGACGGCGGTCTCGTAACCTAAGGATATTGCGGATGGTTGGGCTAGTTCCGGTTGATCCGTGGGTTTATGTAAAAAGAACTAACCACAATCAAACGGTATTGATAAAATTTATGATGTACAGAATTACCGTTAATTTGTTTAATCCCAGATTTTCACAATATGTGGATATGCTGCCGGTATCTAACACTACAACTAATCCTGAATTTAAACCAGATCCTAGAAAATGTTAAACTTGTCGAAATAGCAAAAAAAAACAGATAGAACTTCCACAGATGCGTTTAAAACCCTAAATGTAGACAGTCTCCATCTGAAGACGACACGTTATGCGTCGAAACATGGTTTAGCATTTTACGATAAATGTAAATCGTGTAATTTTAGGTAACTGTTTACAATAGTATGTTTTCACGAGCGGAATTTTATCGTATGCATAAGGTTGTCTCTGATGGGCAATGTTGCCGTGTCTTTTGCTTATATCTGCAAACGTTAAGTACTATACCTACCCTTTGGTCTCCATGGCCATATCGATTTATACACGTCATCAGGATAACCAGTCTCTATTGTCCAGTCAAGGACGCTTGATGAATAAGTAAATTTAGATAATGGGGGTTGCCTGAAAGTAATTATCAGAATAAAATATTATCTACTACCTAAGTTACTAACTTGTAACGAAATAAGATTTCATCAGAAATTTTGTTGAACGAACAGCAGGATCCATATTTTGTAAATGTTTGTTTGAATACCTTTTTACATGAATGAGGCTCTCCTCCGAATTGACAAATCTTTAAAATGTGGTCACATGAAACGACAAACTAAAATGTAAACTGTAGATAGTAATTGACTCAATTTAATGTCTCATTTCCCACTTTAAATTAAACACACATTTAAATTCTTATAATACTCATACATATATGCTTATATTATAACAAACTGTAATAAATATTATATTACATTTAAGCATAAAGTGTAATGTAATTCGATTCTAAAGGTCGTCGTCGGTTGAACTTGCTTCCTAGCGTTTCGCTAGCACGAGTAGCGAACTTCATCAGAGGTCCTTCCGTCTCTGATGTTGGATGTGGACAAACAACTCCAACCGAAGACGGCCTTTAAGGATGTTTGGGAGGTACAATCGGACAATCGGAGACAAGAGTACATAAAATTAGAAATTCGTGATTAATTAGGTTTTGCAGCATATCATGAGATAAATGAGTACTATCTATACTAAAAAAAAGTGTATGTACGGTTTGAGATTTGGAATTTGACCAAAACTGAATAAAATAAGAAATAACGAATATATATATATAAATATGGAAAATTTTTAACTGACTTTTGGCAGTGAATATGCCTTGATTTCAACTTCGAAACAAAAAAATATTTAGTTTCAATCTCTATTAATAATGAGCGTAAAACTTTTTAATATGTTTAAATAATAATTAAAACTTTAAAATTGCATTTATTTCAGACAATTATAAATATTATCATTATATTATCAAGTAAAAACGAGATTTTCAGCTAATTTTTCATTTTTTCCTCGATAACCATTTAGTGAATTTGAATAACCTTACGCTAAAGTGATTCTCCAGAGTTCAAGTTACTTATTATAAAAGTTTGAAATTTCTGGTAGCTTTTTTTCTGTTAATAATAATAAATTTAATCTGTTCGGCTAACGAATTTCCATAAAATGACGTGTAAAATTACAATTTTTTAAAATTTCAATAACTTTTTAAAGGTTTAGTTTGTAATTTTTACAGGAGTTTTAGAATTGAATGAGGAACGTTCTTCCAAATTTTTATTTGTCTCGTGACATACCTCCCAAACAGCCTTAAATCCGAATCAGGACAGCATCAGTTCACCAACTGGCCGCGAGAGCCTATACCAATTTTTCATCCCTATTATAAATGTGTAACATTTAAGTAACGAACAAAATAATAACTGATAATTCACCCTGTGAAAATAGCATAGATGGCGACATAATACTATGTATGTATTATTATTATTCCACCACTTCATTATTAATATGAATATAATAATAAAATACCTTAAAATAGTTCATTTGAACATCGGGTACAACATCTGAAAAAACATCTTCGCTTTCGTTGGCAGCATAATTTTGATAGCACAATTGTTTGTAGCAGGTGTAATTTAATATATTCATTTCGTGGGGATCTCTATAAAATGTAAAGCTTTTCTTTATGGATTTCCTTTTTTTTTTCAATAAAACAATACGTGCCTCTTTGATAATATCTTTTTTGCTAGGGATTCTGTCATTATGTATTTAAAACAAATTGTTATTGCTGGAAAAGGATAGTCTTTAATATAGCTCGGTAAGGGGTCGATATTTTGAATAACTGGTATGCTCGAGTGGAAGCGGTTTATGCTAAATATGAAAAATATTGCTAAGATGAAACTTGATACGGTTGCGATCGCCCAAAATGTTCTGAAACACAGAAATTTTACATGCCGAAGATATTTGAATAAAATACGCTTTATAATAAGAACAGATTGAACTTTTGATCAGTAATTTATCGAAATCGCCACATCTTAACTGATCTCATCAGCACGCTGTAGTCAGTTTCGATAAATCAGCGACCCAACCGGAGACAAGGTTGTAGATGGTGACATAATGACGTAACTGGATAGTTAAAAACAACTGACTGATTAGACATTTAATACATTACCTAATTACCTATCTGATGTAACATTTACGTATTTTTTAGGTTGTAGTTGGTAAATCATTAACAAATTACCATTTATTGGTATTAGTTTACATAATAACTATGGGATACTTCAATAAAATGATTATGGTATAGGCAGACCAGGCAAATGTGTACGATGGGTAGTTGTACCCACATGAAAAATTTTATGTCATTTAATATTTATACATAAGAGACAAGAGTATTATTGAATTTATATTGCGCACGTTTGAATTGAAGTCGCTTTAAAATTGCCAAAAGGGCGCAAAGGGTGCACCGTACATTGGTTCTTTATTTATGAGTTACGTTTACTAACTAGTTAAAATAAATAGCTACTAAAAAATAAAAAAAGAGTTACGATATGGCGGAGGTGCTAGGCATCACCTTTATTGAAAAAATAAATAAAAGAAAACGTAATCTGCTAAACATTAAAAGCTTTGCTGATGTATGGTAGTCATTAGTCATGCAGGTAAAAGAACCAACAAAATCTGTTGAATCAGTAATTAGTGATCAATACGAATACAGAAGCTGTTTCTGTTGAAATCCTTTAAAAATGCGTTTCATATAAGTATTATCATATAAAGTTTCTTTAAAAAACAATAAAACCAAATTAATATGAGAGTTTGTTTTGTAATATGAAAATAGAAAGAATATTTTACTTACCTCTCCCCTATTGTTAATGTGTCATCTCCTACGTAAGGTAAGCCATGTAACGTATTATTTTTGCAAAATTCTTTAAAATTAACGTATTGTTTGGCATTTTTGCTGAAACCAAATTTTGTTTGAAGTATGTAATTACCATCAGTACACAATTACTATGGAGTGTCCACAAACCTTAAATATCTTGAAAACCCAGAAAATACTAATCCATGCAAATGTCAAGGAAAATTTTTTTGAATTAGAAACGTAATTTTGAAAGGTAAGGAGCCAATGAATTTTATTCTAATCCAGGAGTCGCTATGAGTCAGTCATGAATTTTCATAGTTCGAAAATCATAATAATTATTTCTTCACGTGTGTCGATGGGCAAATGGAGATACAATCTCAATTTGTTGTTAATTTGTTCACGTGGGGGGTTGTTTTCTTTGGTATAAACTGAGCCGATTTGAATCAGCAGCCTGTTTTATTACCCGGGACATCTTTCGATTTAATCATTTTCTAGCAAAGTTCTGATTATTTAAAGAAAATCCAGTTAATATAAGGTATAACCAATAAATATTTTTAAATAATAGCGTATTACTCCTATCAACATTTTGTTCATATTTGCAAAATCTCATCAAGATCTGCTCAGCCGTTTTGATTATTAGTCGATTAGATTAATCACATCAATTTTATTTATACCGATTGCGAAAGAGTGAATTTTGGCAGAGGAAATCTCAATTAGTAAACATTGTAATTTGCGACTTCGTATGTGTATGTTTGCACAATTTTCACACAGTCCTTTCTGCTATTAATCAGTGGAATATTATAATTCAATGCCAAGATTCTCATTTTCGCATACTCTATATTGTATGGACTTATAGATTATTATCTATTAAGCAATTAAAATAATGTAAATTTTCTAGTATAGGAACCATGCATATTAGGCACTAAAAATTACTTACCTTGGTTTTTTCATAGTCACTTCATTTTCC